GGTGATCAAATGCACCTACCCTGTGACATTTGCAAAACTGAGTAATAGAAATGTAGATTGAGTGTCAACCAAGGTGTCGATGGAGTGTCGATTGAGTATGGATCGGGTGTTGTTTGAGTGTCAATTGAGAGTATCGATCAAGGGTATCAATCGACACTCGACCACAGATGCCTTTAGTACACATAATCCAGCTTATCTTTAGTGGGTGAAATTGTTACAATGTTTGGTACAAATCAAACTTGCCATTAGTTGCAAATTATAAAGCTGAGCTCATAACAATATTATTATGTGACCTCTCTGGACAGTACCAATAGTTTTAGGTTTCATGTCTTGGTCTTTTGAGCAGTAGACAATTAAATGCCAATTAAAATCTGACTAGGGGAAATCTGCTTATGAATGTTGTTTTTATCCTTCAGGCTAGCCATTCTAAAAGAACTGAAGATATTAACAGAATAAATTAGGAGAGGATACAATATACCTCTGTAGTTCATAGTCAACTCAGATGTAGTTTAATCATGCAGTGCTCCAAAGTGTGGAAACATCACAACATTTTGGTAAGTAAACGGCTGGAATATTCATTTGTTACTTCTATATTTTGTAGCATAAACCATCTTATAATTTCTTCAGCCACAACTTTTTATATCTTTTTCCAGCAAAGAAAGCATATAAATAGATTTAAAAATTTTGGCTATAATTTTATTAATATTATTTTAATTGATCATTTTTATTGTAGTCTCACTCTGTGAAAAAAATGTTGTTTCTTTTTGGTTCATTTAAGTGCAAGTGAGGAAAATATAATGTTGTCTTTCTCATGGGACAAATACATCAACTGGTCGGCTCACCTGGACGAAAATTAAGAAATTAAAATGTTATTGAAAACATGCAAGGGATGGGAATCATTTTGGTGAATGAATCAAAGTTGCAGAATGCTGCAAACAAGTCTCAGGAAATGTTGGTTTTTGATTGGTAAAACCTGAGTTTTGAATCTAAATTTTGAGGGATTGTCTGCAATATCAACCAAATTTTTTCAAGCAAAATTAATAATATGATTAATTCATAACTGTTGATGGGATCAGTAGAGAATTTAAGGCGTAGAGGATTTGATGATAACTTAGTAATAGTAAATTGGCAAAGACCTTTATTTGCTTTTACCCAATTTAAAATTTTGTTGGCAAATTTGGCTGGATAATGGCCATTTCCCTCTATGAGATGCGGCTGCTGGGAATCATAGTGGTTGTATTCATCATCTTGGACTGGATTTTTGTTTCAATGAATATAACAGCTATGCGATTCCATACAGGCATGTCTCATGTTAAATTATTTAATTTCATGAATTTTTTTTAGTGGAAAAAAGTGTACAAGTGGTTGCTAACTGTTTACTAATCAAATGTGCAATTATTTTGATATGTTTATATGCTCCCTTTCACATATGATCTACAAGGAAAATAAGGAAAAAGATAACACTACTGATCATGAAGAGATCTGTGGAAATTACACAGGAACAGCAATATTCCCATAGGTGTGTGTATTCCTCATTTCTTGTCACAGTTTATGTCAGATTTGTTGGTTTTTTAGATTGCTATTTTGCAACGATAAAAGATCTTTGTTGTGAGATGTCCGTTTCTCTGAAAAGTGTTGTGCACTCTGATGAAAATATTTGTCCACAGACAGTATCAGTTCCCAGAAGCAAACAGTTTACTTAGAGCAAAGCTCAAGGAAAATCGTGAGCTTTGAGGAGCACATAGTGCCAAAGACATATATCCTTACATATTTTTAAAGTCAAAATATGGTGCTATTGTGTTTATTATCCTCAGTCAAATATATCACGCAACACGCTGGATCTTTTGAAAATGAGGAATATTACTCATATATTTTGCCCAGTTTTACCTGGGGCATATTCAGTCACGTGATGCGTTTAGACCAGCCACGTGAACGAAAATATGTTTATGGACTACAGACAAGACTATTTTCACCGTTTTTTTGTTAGTAAACTGAGTTTAAGATTAAAATTCCTAAACTGCGGTAAAATTAAATACATATTTGCTATTGACGGAAGCACAAACTATGCAGAGGTGGAGTAATGATCTGATTGGTCACGTTTTTGATGTGATATTAGCAAAAACTATAGGTAAACTTTAAGGAATAGAATGCCAGGATTCACCCTTAATATTCATTTCCAACGTTTTTGTCTGTTTGCTTCTGTTTAGTCAAATGCGGACAAGATTTGGTTGACAGGATGGACTTATCCAGTGAAGATGCATTCATTAATTTCGTCAACTTCTTAGACTGTCAAATTGTGAAAGCATGGGGATTCAG